ATTCGTTTTGTATCAATTTAATTAAAAAAAGAGAGAAATCTTACTGTTTGAAAAAAATATTACCTTTATTGTCATACGAGAGACAGACATTTCCAAGGGAACGGAATGTAGTTCGCGCTGATACAACGTTCCAATCTCTTCTTCGTTCAAATTGTTTCTTCTAATGGAATCCCTATGTAGTGCGTCCAAGGCGCGTTCTAATCGTCCACTGCACGCATCCCAATCGCTAATACCGGTATATGCAAAACCAATTGACAAGAGTTTAAATAGCCAAACCGCCAGCTGTCTGAACTGCATTACCTACGCAAATGTAACAATTCTGTTTATGGTTGTGTAAAAAAAAAATAATTACAGCCGGTGAATTTGACTAAGAACAAATTTTTAATTTTTTGCAATTAATCACTGACAATGATAGAAAATGAGATGCGGAAAGAGCATGGTGCTTTGTAATTAATGAGATATAGTGGTCAAATTTTTGTATTTTGAGTCATACAACGATCATTACGGATTTATATCCGTATATATATTTATAGTGTGCATCTGTCTACGTCCTGCCATTAAAATATCTTCCAAAGCATATCCTGTAGAAACTTGATGAACTCGAGGCTCTGAAACAGAGCATGAAAGAGTCTCCATTCCGCTTATCGTCAACAACAATCGAATTGTGTGAAACTAGGAAGTATGATCTTTTAAGTAGCTCGTTAATGTTAATTGTAACACACAATGAAACAATATAAACTTATGAATCTGTTAACCTGTCATCCTTGACAATCAGTTTTTTTAAAAAGCAGAATTATTAAATCAATAAAGAGTTATTTAATTAGAAATATGTTTAATCTGACAGAATCTTTTTTCGCTCTTTCTCTCTCTCTCTCTCTCTCTCTCTCTCTCTCTCTCTCTTCCCTTTCTCTCTCTCTCTCTCTTCGTTTCTTTTTTTCTCTATTTTAATTAATAAACTTTCTATATATATATATAATTAAATTTACTAGGCTTATACTAAACTAAAAATTTATCGAAAAATTTAACGCTTAAGATAAAAGTAACTTTTTAAACAGATAGCATTTTGATCTAAGTATATTGCTGCAGTTGGATGCATAACTGGTACTGTTTGCAACCTATACAGATAAATCAAATTGCGAGATTCTATGACGTTGCTATGGCGAAATTGCATTGTTCATCCTTGTATGGTAATGCAAAATCCAACACCATTCATTCCGCCATCATTTTTATGCTTCGTTGATTGTTTTGGATGTATTCAACAAATATTTGCATAACCGTTAGATAATTCGTTTCTCTAATACTTCTCATATTATTACAGAATAATATGAGAGTATTAGGATTTCATATATATATTCGATTATACCCAGTAAGCAAAACATCATTATTACAACGTTATTGCAAGAATCTTCAATAACATATAACATTTTTAAATACGTTATATTTAATGTTGTATACAACATTATAACGTTTGATCACAATTTGGAGATTTCTATAATATGATATTTTATCATAAAATCATGTTATAAATAATATTATAAATAATATTGCATTAATATTGAATCATTATCTCAAAAATGTTGAGTTGCAATATTGTACAATGTTAAAAAAGTATTATAAAAACGTTCCGTATTTGTTGAAGTAACATCTTATAAACATTGCAATTCAACATTCGAGAACATTGATTCAATTTATTGAATATCATATAAACTTCCAACAATATTAGGTGTATGAATTAATTTTACATAAAACTAAACGAAATATTTATAAAATTACATTTCATTTTATGATGTATTAAAATATATTTCATTTCAAATACACTACATTTATTTTCATCTTGATGCCTCACCTTCTAAAAATCATTTCATTAAAACACACATCATTTAACAACATTTAACATTGTCTCAGCAACATTTAACAAACATCTCAGCAATGTTTTTTTCAACATTATGTGCTATAGTTACAAAATATTCAGAATTTATATTATTAAAATATTTCTTAAAGGTTTTCGGAAATATTTATATTATAAGGTAATATAAATATTATGCTATTAGAATTTATAAAATATTATATAGATAAAAACGTCAATGAAATTTACATAAAATTAATATTTCGAAATGTTGAACTAATGTTTCTTACTTACTGGGTAGTATCTTCGATTATAGTATTCTTCAAATATTCTTTATCAATATATCATATGCTATTGGAACTTGCAAGAACTTTCGTTATGTACCTAAAATACAAATAATATTGTAAATTTTAAAAAGTTTCTTTACTAAGCCTGTCTATGCTTGATTTGACTATGTTTTTTTAGAAAAAGAAATATATTTGTATGATTTTATTTGCTTTATGTGTATATTTTTTTAAATCAAAGTTATAAGTATAAGTTTAAAATATATTTTGATAAAAGACGGTCTGTTGCTAAACAATATATCCTCTTTTTAACGCATTTATTTATAAAATTTCTAAGTACTTCAATAAATATAAATTTAAATAATAAAAAATTTTTAACGTTTTTTTCAAAAGTATAGAAACATGAAATGAAGGAAAAATATTGAAATAATTTCTGTTATGATATTATTTAAATTTTTCCAAAAATTCTAACTAAATTTTAACTCTAAATTTTGAAAAGCTAAAAATGCTCTCGCGCTGTCAACACTTTACCTCGGACATTTTCGTCGCTTTCATTGTTATAATGCGTATGTTTCGCTCTACGCGAATTTTTTTATTTAAATTTGTAATTGATTAAAATTTATAATTCTGAAAAAAGATCGGACACTTACTTTGCAGAATATTTAGATCGCTCTCGTCTTGGAATGACAACAGATATATTAATTAGTGCTTGTAGAAACACACGCGAAATCCCTTACACCTATTCTCATCGAGACATCGAAGAACAATGAAAGTGTGGTACGCGCACACCTTTCGGACACGCATCGCGGCGATTTCCCACTGAAATCATCCTTTCCTTTTGGCAAACCGCGTTGCGCGCAGCTACTATGCAAGCGAGAGACATGAGGTAAAAGGTAAAACGGGCTTTATTAGAATGTAGACCGAATATATAGGGTATGAAAAAAAGAACTCGGAAAATATACGTTTTATAGAAAAATGTTTTAGATAAAAGTTGTAGGGTTTAAAAAGATCAATTTACTCATATTATCAGTTTGATTTTGAATGTCGCCAAGGTCAGATCAAGGTCAGATCAAATATTGATTTTTTTTAATGTAGCTTATTGAGAGCTCTTCAAAACACTATAACAAAATATTTTTTCATTAAGTACTTTTCGAGTCACGAAGATTAAAAATTATGGTATTACCGGCGCGATAGTAGCATTACTCATCCGACAGACAACTAAAACTTTTTAAATATTGTCCTAAAACTTGTTAAATATTGTAAAGAATCATAACATTTGTTAAGATCAAGGTCATTGGAAATTGTTCCTTTTATTTTCATTTTTACGTAAAAATGAATTTTTAATTCATGGGTAACGATCTTTTTTTTCCACCTCATATAAATGTAGAAATGGTGCTATATATGCTTGCATTATATATCAGAGTTGAGTATAATTGATTAATAAATATAATTAATTATAATTGTAATTAATTACTTTAATTGCAATTTTAATGTAATTACAATTATGTTGCAATCGTAATTGAAATAATGACAATTATAGTAATTGTTGAGTCACAATTATATTTAATTCAGATATAATTATAATTGTAATTGCACGATTACTTTCATAATTATGTTAGACAAAATTTTATTATTTTTCATGAGGAGCAGACTTTCAAAATGCGTTTTGTTCAAAATTTGTAATTTTCAGAAAACGAGAAAGAAAGAAAATTACGTACTTTACAGAAAATAACAATATATCAATCAGTAAGATAAGAAATATTAAATAAAATTGCTAAACAATTGCTAAAAATATTAAACAAACGCATTTTGTTTGTCTCTAATTAAAAAACATAATGCACTTATCTGTTTTTAGCATATAAATTGACGATGAAAAAATGTTTTTTGAACATTTCAGAGTAGCTTATAATATGAATCTTTTAATTAAACACTATGGTATCTCTAACTAAAAAAAAAATGAAATTTTGAACAAAATACATTTTGAAATTTTGCTCTTCATATGATTAGTAGGTAAATTTTATTATTTTTCATATGCACAAGAACATAACAATATCGATGAAATGCCATTTTTTAGAAAGAATACAATATTCTATAAGGCATTAATTGCTCTTATTCTAATTACAATTACAGTTAATCAATTAACAATTAACAATTAAATAATTGTAATTTGTTTACAATCTCTTTTCGCAATTATTTCATTTAATTGTTTTCAGCAATTAATAATTACAAAACATAATTACTAATTGAATTAAGAATTACATTGTAATTGTAATTTGTAATTTACATTTGTTAATTGGCTTACAGTTTTGCACAATTCTGCATGTATTCTAATTAGTAAATAGAATACTTATTACAGTTCATTTTAAACTTATCTATGTAACAAAATACTTTTTAACTTTTTATACGTTTTATAATATGATTTTTTAGATTGAAAGAAAAAATCCAGGTCAGTTCTGTAATTCCAGGGATTTTTAGGAATTTTCTAAAATTAAATTTCATGACTTAAGAAGTTTTCTAGGATGTATTAAATTCGAGGATTTAAGGAGGATTTAAGGAGGATTCAAGGACATACAAGGATATAAGACACTGTTTTATATTATCATCTTTTAATTTACATAATTTTCACTGCAAGATTCAAATAAATATTGTTAAATAAATATTTTCATTGCTAGTATTTAAAGAAATTATTTTTTGAAATACAATTTTTTTTACTTAAAATATTTTTTTCAGTGTACTTATTTATGACTTTTAAATAAACATAATTTTTTTTCGTTGCATACGTTCTTTTGCATTTATGTACTTGGCGTATTTTTTTTTTTTTTACTTTTGTAAGGTCTTTTTTATAGAATATTCTTACATAAATTAATAATTTTTTATCGGGAGATCTGTGAGACAAAAATATATACATAGCTTATTGAACGCAGCTCTACATCCAGAAGAACGCAAAGCGCATGTCAAACAAATTAGATCTCTCCGTTCGGTGTGATTCGATGGCTTTCACGATAGTTACTGTGAATTTTTATGTGCTTTTAATTCAGATTAATGAAAAATAAAACGCGGAAGATGAACTTTTCCGAGTTGCGCGAAGCCGGCCAAAGAATCCATCAGCTGACGGCACGCAAGAAATTACGCGTAACGCATGGGACCGAATCAACTTTTAACAGTGATCGCAATTTTTCAAGGTTATATAACCGTGAAAACCAAATTTTATGCCTCTTTTCCATTTCTTATGTCTATTTCTACCAATGTAGATTAACTTTATTCTTGGTTTAACTTGTTTTAAGAATTAAAAAAAGAGAGATAAATAGTAAACTAAGATTAAAGTCATTAAAGTCAATGGCTGCATTCAGCAGAACGCTTTGTTTGCTGTTGGAAGTTTTCTTCATGCTGATTGAAAAAGCAAGAGGAATGATTCTATTTCAGCAGAAAATCATAATACGATTGGAAAACTATGTGTTTTGCTGAATGCAGCCAATCTACATTGGTAAAAATAAGCATTAACTGCGTTTTTCTTTCATGTCTTCTTGATTTGAATTAAAAGCGTATATTCGTGCTTTTGAGCAGAACATGAAAGCTCCAATTTGTTGTAACACGAAAAACTGTCAATTTCTTAGAATACGACGTTATTGGACTAATTATAAATTACTAAATGAAGATGAAAATGTAAAGGAGCAACAATCACCTTTTGTTTTTCCTTCTTGTTCCCAAACCTTGTCCTATCTTCAATGGTGGAAAATGCAAAAAAAGAAAGCGATATCCAAACGCGACAGAAAAGTCTATAAGGATCGACATAAAATTTTGCAACCTCGTAATATTTTACATGTAAGTTGTGCTTATTTATTATTATTGAGATCTTTGATGAATATATTTATGTTGCATAATATTATATAATTTAATTTATTAAATTCTCAAAATATATTATATATTAACCGTTATAATATATTGTATAAATCTTGGTGAAAAAAATCTCATAAGATTTCACAATATTTTCGAAATATTTAAATTAAGCAGATTTTTGAAAAATATCTAAACTTTTTTAGATTTTATAAGTTTTTTTTCAGAAATTATAGAAAAATTATGAAAAAACTTAGAACGTTTCAGAAATCACATAAAAAATTTTGGAAAATAAATAGACTTTTTTAGACATTTCTGAAAAATATTCCAATTTGTATAACAATTCGGAGAAATTTCTTAAAAAGTTATAGGAGGAATTCGGGAGACTTAACTATATGGGAGAGTTGAACCTCAAATATCTCAAATTTCAGGCTAAGCAGTTGTCCGCGATGTATCATACCATTTTGATTTCACATTTCTCGAAACATGATTGCCAGCTTGATAAGTGGAAAATTTGAACGAGAAATATGAAGTAGTTCAACTCTTCCATATGGTCAAGTCTCCCGATTCCTCCTACTATTTATATGTATAGAAATTCTGAAGAATTATGCAAAAAATTCTAAGGAAATTTTTGATTGGAATCGTCTTTTTATTTCTAAGTTTCGTAAAACGTAGGAAAATAAAAAAGAAAGAAACTGGAAGAACATTTCGATAGATATATATTGTGCATTATTATATGCTTACTAAAAAATTTTGCACAGGTTGAAATAGAAGCAGAAAAATACAAAAAGTTGGATAAAGTGATTGCCATGACGGATGTAAATCCACAGTATTTTACAGAATTAGCCGGTAGACCTGTGAAAGAAAAGTTTTTATTAAAAGAGTATATCCAAGATATAAGAGAGATATTAAAAACAAAACTTCTCATTGGTCAAGAAAAAGATGATTGTATTCGTATCGATCAACAATTTGAGCAAGAAACACAACGATTACGACAAATCCAGGTATAAACTTTAACGTAATTAAATTAATATTTTAAGAGAAATATTTATAAAATAATAACAATTACACAAGGCTGCGCTTTACAAAAACAATAAGAAAGAGTGCGGCTAAAATGTGCCGCCAATTCTAGCACTGAAAGGATTAAAATAGGTACTAAATGAATCGCCTAATCTATAATAGCTGCGCATTTAGCAGAGAAAGCAGCTTTGATAACTGTTTTAAAATTCTTCAATAGATATAATTCGAAGAATTGGTTTTTACTGTTGATTCCTTATGGATCTAAATATATAAATCAATCATACTAAAGAATTTTACAATAATTGCAAAGCTGCTTTCTCTGCTGAACACAGCCATTAATAGTGTGTCTGTGCCGCGTTTTGTAGGCTGCTTCGGAGAATCACTATTTGTGTCTATCATTCTATTTTCATCGTCTATTAAATGTGGAACAAAGGATAGTATGACACAAATAATATTGATAGCACGCTCCTTGGAAAAGCATAAAAATATCGCAGCTATAAAAAATCGTTTTGAATTCAGAATTTTGGAACTCTGTAACTTTGGAACGGAAAATAGAAACATATATTTGTATTCAGCTTAACGAGATTTTTCATTTGATTTCTATTTTCTATTTTAACTCTTCTCATACAGTATCGATTATTGCAGAAAATTTTCAGAAATGTTTCAATCTTTCACATCTCATGTGCAATAATTCTGAAAGAATTCTGCAATATGTCATATGAAATTTTAACAGAAATGTTTCTATAATTTATCATAGGCAATAAATTAAAAAATACATTTAAATAGAACAAAAATTATAATATTAAAATGGCTTCAAAATGTTTACTATCATTTTTTTGATCAATCATTTTTTGATCACGATTCAATTTAATGTCATTTTAATGTTATTCTGACTTATTCTACTTTAATTGCAAAAAACTTTTGAATAATGATATTGTGTGGAAACTGCAAGTATGATTTTTTAAATAGTAATTATGTATATATCCTTTTATACATATATACGTAATATGATCAATTAATCAAAATAATTGGCGATATAATTACTATTTTTGAGAAACACTTAAGTTTATTTCAACAAGTTTTAATCTGTAAACAGATCACAAATGCGACTAATGGCCAAAACTCTTAATAAATTTTAAGTACTTCAGAAATGATATTTAAATATATGTTTAATCGATACTTAAACAATATAAATATTATTAAAATATTATTAAAATATCAATCAAGTATATATTTGAACATCATTTTTGTAGTACTAGAAATAGCTGAAATTTTTTTGGTAATATTTCAAAAAATTTTGAACAGACACGATACGCGCGTTAAAAGAATCACTCGCATAACATGTATTTGATTATTTGATTATTTTAATTTTATAAAGGACCCAAAAACAGAGGTTGAAACGTTTACCGTTCAATTTTCTAAGAAAATAATAAATTGTTACAGACTAATAACAACATTAATGTTTCTAGTTTATTCAGTATGATCACAGTACACTGAATATAAAAATAGAATATTATCCTAATATCATGTACTAAGATACTACTGTCGAATTTATTTATTGTACTAGTGCATTAGCAGTTTTTTTTCGTAAGGGCCCCTCTTATTCAAGAACGAAGTTTGTATGTATTACCTAATCCAAACTCAAGTTTATTGATTAAATTTTAGTATTGATCTTTTTGTGGTATAACTTTAAAATAATTCCTTATAATAATTCCTCTCTTATGCATTTTCTGTTCATAATTATTTATCTCTTATATATTTTCTTTTATCATCAATAGCAACGAAAATAATTAGTTTGAATAAGACATTTCATATACGCGCAAGAAATGTCTTCTTATCCATGCGCAAGAAACACCTTATCTGACACTATATATAATATTAATTTCTCAAATGAATATATTTCGACATAAATTCATCCGTTTTACTATTTTATAAAAGCATCGTTGTCAGCGATATGTAAGCGACTTCGACGAATTCTTATCGAAAGATCATGAAAAAAGTATGCAAATGCTGAAGAAAGCGGAATGGGAAGTGAAATTGACGGAAAAGACTGGCACTCGGAAGAATGAGTTTGCGAGACAATTGGGTCATATTAGGTTGGAAATTTATGTCTTGGAAGAACAGTGGAGATTAGTAAAAATGTGCCAGATGTTCCTTTATTGCGTGTCACCTGTCGCTTGGAGGACCAAGTATGAAGCAGAACGGGGCATTATCTCAGTCGATACTCCATCGATAGACCTGTTTAACAGATACAAAACACTAGATGAAACCGTACCCTTGGAGAAATTGATAGGTAATTCTGGGCGAAATGTTTAGCACTTAATACTTTTCAACATTTTTTTTCTTAATGTACGAACAATCATTTCGTGTTAGAATTATTTGAACAGGACATCACTGATGCCGGCCCGACCGTATTGTACTTCGAGGATCCATTCGATTTAATTCGCATCTTCCGGGCAATGGAGACACAGAATTTAAATGCACTCGTATATCTCGAATCTCTCGCTGCCCCGATAGCAGATTTGATCATGACAATCGCTGCGACTGAAGCGCAAATCAAACAAGAGATCAACGAAATTACTTCAATGATCAATGACTTAGAAGTTCGTACCAATTTAATTCGATCGAGTTCACATGATTTACAAATTGAACATATTACATTTTGGATGTTTGAAAAAAGTTTCTAAGATTTTAGTGACAACATTCACAATGAAAAAAATGAAAGATTAATCAAGATAGAATCACGTTAAAAACAAAAATGATTTCCCAAATTTAAATTCATTGATAAGTGCTTACATTTTTATATATAGAACATCTTCTTTTTATAATTCACTCTAGCGAAAATTTTTTTCCTATAATTCTTCATATAATATTTTATAAGTTTTATATATACAAATTTAAAAATTCTCAGAATTTTTGTATAATTTTATAACTTTTTAGAAAGTTTCTCAGAATTTTTATGAATTCTAAGATTTTTCATTCTATCATTTCTGAAGAAAATTTAACAAATATAAATAAAAAAAAGAATTTAAGGTAATTTTCAGAAATTTTTATAAATGTAAAATACGAAAAATTCTTAAAGATATTACAAACTATAAAAATTTGATTACTAAGATAAATTAATTTTTCGATTTATATTGATTGAGTGCTTACTTTTAATGAATACTTTTCAGTGAATACTACATGCTTCTAAAGCATTGGATTTTTATATATAGTATTTCTGAAAAGTGGGGACAAACTTAAAAGGCTGATAATAAGAGATCGTAATGGAAAAATTATTGTTTTTAGAATTTTGTTCAATTATTGTTTTGCAATAATGTTCAAAATGATTCTTCAACCTCATTACCAATAATGTTTAACAAAAATTGATATCTATCGTCTTGACATGTCACCCAACATGTAAATCACATATAAGTTGTTTAATTTGACTATCATCTTTTTAGGTTTATCGTCATTTTTCGGAAACATTCTATACATAAAATATTTCACATAAATTCTAATGAAATATGTTTTTCTTTTTTAAATTCTCATTATATCTTTAACATTAACAATTTAGTCTTACGAATCGAAGTATCCGATAGAATTTCATCATTGAGGCAGAAAATAGAGCAGTAAATCTCGAGGAATACGCTAATTATCTTCTCCGAGATGTTTTTCGATATCTTGTCTGTTCTGAAGAAGTACTCTATCTTCGCGTTTTCGTAGAAGATGCCTATGAGAGTTGCATAGGTCCGAATGACGCGAATCTTGATAGTTTTTCGATGATGACATGGATTGAAAAATTGCACGAGGAGCTTAATCTCCAGCTGGATAATCTGCCGCGCGAAATTGTTCGTGCTTGTGAACGGGAAGGATTCCGTCAAGAGATGAAGATTATAAAGGATGCGGAGGACGCCGCAAAAAAGGTAAATAATTTATATTAAACATTTATCTTTTGCTCGTAAATAAGAGAACAGTAGTCTTAAGAGGTTAATCTCACGGAAAGCCTAAAATTATATGATTTTTAAAGACTTTGTAATTTCAAGTTCAAAATGCATTTATCTTTACGTAATAAGTTAAATTTTATTATCTTAATTAAAATATTGTTTGTTTGTCTTTTACTGTTATTTATTGTTATTATTGTATTATGAGCTAAATAGTTTACTTGTTATTTTTCAATTAAGTATATAGCCTTGAATTTAACATCTCAAATGATTATGTTACACGAATTGTTACACGAATAATTTAACGCAAACAATATCTCAACTTGTAATAATTTGCATGATTGCTAGTTCGAACTAATGCATCGACTATTGGAAGCTCTGAAGCGGGTTATGGAATTACCTGTAAGCAAAAAACGGCCATTAATTCGGCGTTCAGTACCGATTATAATCAAGATGAAGCCGCCATTACGTTTATCGAAACCGACGGATGAGGAACTCCAATATCTCACCTTCTTCACCGATTACTGCAGAGTACACGATGACTTCGTCACATATCGTTCCAAGTTTCCAGATGATTTCGATTTGACATTCAAGAGCAAACAAGATGATATCAAAAACAAAACGATACTTAATGATACATCTTCGAATCAAAAGGAAAAGGAGAAAGAGGAGGAAGAGGAATAAGCAGAAGAAAAGAGAAAATGAATATACTATTGAAAACGTAACAGAATCAGCACATTTATTTGAAAATTTCTCGTGCGTATATATCCGAAAGGATTCTATCAGTCTAATGCGCTACGCATTGTCGATTACTTAGCGCTATTAATAATTAATATGTATACATAAATAGGCGATTTAACGATCAATGTTGAAGCACAAGATAAAATATTCAGAGATAATAAAACACAACAAGAGGCAACTACAGCGTACAATAGAATTCGGGACGATAGTCGATATAAAAACAACAATCATGCTTGATATCTTGATTACAAAGCGCCAATTTATACATTCCTTCTTATAAACTTTATAAGAAGACTGCGATATACACTTTACCTTCAAGTATCTCTTTTTCTTTTTACACACGAGCAACTTTTTTAAATAAAATCTCTATTACTAGAGGTCACACACAGAATGGACCGAAAGTCTGGACAGTCGAATATCTTATAAAAAAAAAGTATTTTTGAGAAAAATGTTTCATAAGCTTGTAAAATTTGAACATCAAAGAGACTTATTTGATCTCGAGTGTATGGATAAGTTCTCAAAGTCAACTTTAATTTTGAAAGTAAACGTCCGCTTTTTCAATTAGCTGATGTCGAGATCTTTTTACTGCCTTTAATTAATAGGTCAAATCTAAGTAGAATCGTAAGGCTCGCAATTTATTCCTGTAAAAATTTATGACTAGTAATTTTAGGCACTGTAAAACGTACCATTATTCATGATCTACGATTTCTCGTAAATTTTATGCAAGAAGTTATGTAAAGTCTGTCTGTAAAGATACTGGATAAAGTTACAAGCCATGTTTGTAAGTACTTACAAGTGACGAGAACATGAATCTTACGATTTAATTTAGAATTGACCCGTCAGTCTTTTTTGAGATATGAGTTGACAAAGTTCAGGTACCGCCAATATTATTATAACATTATTCGAGATGTTCGATCATAACTCAAACCTCTTAAATGTTGTTCGAAGATTTTGATAACGTTTGTCAAAATCAAGACCATTGAAAGTTATTTCTCAAATTTTCATTTTTAACATAAAAATGAAAATAAGAGAAACAATCTGCAATAATCTTGACTTCCAGACTTTTGGCTCATATTGTTACACACACACACACACACACGCGCGCGCGCGCATGTATGTATATATTTATACATATGTGCGTTATGTGTGTGCGCATGTGTATGTATGTGTAGTGTCCCAGAAAAAGTATAGGTCCTTTCACTGGCAGATTTTGTAGAACAACATTCTAAATGAAAAATCTTATACAAAAATATTGAGACTATACTTTTTAAATTATAAACGATTAAAGTTGGCTAATTGTTTTTTTCAACATAATTTTTACAATTAACCCCTTTTTTTTATCTTTTGATACTGCGTCGCAATTGTCAAACAAATATGTATCAACAATTTATTATATATGAATACATTAAAATTGAATTAATATTTGACATTTTTTTTTATTATTTCCTATTTGAATTTTACATGTAGGATAAAAGCAGAGAATGTGGAATAGATTGCTAATATGGAATGGTGGCTTATTTTCTAAAGCATTGCAATTTAGCGGTAATCGCTGTAAGTTGTGGCAATTGCTACCAAACATATCATAACAAGTAATGAGCAAAAAATGTTGCGAGCCCGACAAAATAATGTTTCATCACAATAAACATTTATTTATTTTCATTGCATTAGGAATCTAAAACGTCGGCATCTTTAAAAACGATGTTTTCACAAACTGAAGGGAAGTTTGTTGATGTTTATATTTAGGGATGCACCGGATATCCGAAAAATATCCAGTATCTGATATTATCCGGCACTTTTTTACTATCCGACCGAATAATCGGATATCATTAGTATTCGGCAATATATCCGGTAGAAATTTTATATCATTAAATTGTTGATTTTTTTATTATACAAATGTATAGAAATAAGTATAGATATTCATAATGCTATAACATCTTATACATTGTTACAATTTTTTTCTCTACAATATCTGTTTTTTTTTAGGAGACATTTTCTCGGAATTCGATCGGATATCCGGAAAATATCGGATGTTCGACTCGAAGAAATTGCCTTCTCGGATATCTGATGTTATATTTTATCTGGTAATTTTACGATTCGATGCATCCCTACTTATATTACATAGACGATTTTTCATAATGTATGTATAATATTATGCAGACAAATTATGATTTCTAACTTTTTTATTACTACAAAAAGACTTTCTTTATCATGTGACGACATGCAGATAATGTGGAATGAGGGTTGAGAATATGAGATAGATTCCATATTAGCAACTTATATCAGGGAAGTTAAGTTATAGGATTCCATATCAGCTTATTTGCTAGTTTATCCAATCATGCTATTAGATTTTCTGTTATTGTACAATAAAAAATGTGAACTATCTTTAACTACTTTTCTTGATCAATTTACATAAATAAACAAATTTAGACTTCATTTATTTGTTACTATTACCTAAATTCCACCGATACTCCATATTATATCTCATTTTTTAAACCTCTCATTTTCACACTTTATTTTTTTGTTAATATTGACGTTGGACTTAAATTTTGGTGATTTTCATTTATTGGATATTGTAGCTAATATATTCCTCAAGAATGCTGTGTAAATTTAATGTTTTCATATGCATTTATATCGGAACAATGTTAAAGGGAGGTTCTACTTTGAAGGGCAAAAAAATCGATTTTTTTACATTATTGGCATCTCTGAAGTGTGTAGAATATGCCTGTAAAGGGATTTTTTAATATTCAAAATGTTAAAGCAATTTAAATAATGTTAAAGCATTTTTTTGACTTGTTAAATCGGATTTTGCATCGATCAAAAATCAAGTGAGCTTAATGATATTACGCGCAAAAACAAGCAAGAATCGAAAGAAGAAAAGCTCAAATGCAGCAAAATTTGTTCTCTAAACAGAGGAGAAATTGACTATAGGCCAGGAATTGCTTATTATATATAAGTTGCAAAATATTGTAGTTAATTAAAATCATTATCATCAAATAAAATTTTATTTTTTCGCATTTTTCTCGCATTCAAATTGGTAATGTACAGCTTCAACCCTCCGACTGATTTGATATTTTTTCTCACGTAAACTAGACAATTTTTATGAACCTGGAAATGTCATAAATTTTCCAAAATAACTATTTCTTTGAACAGGTTAAAAATGAAAAAAAATTCGTGATAATTGACACTTAATTTCAAATGGCTGCCATTCTATAAATTTTTAAATTTTTCAAATGAAATAAGTTTCATGGCCCTACAAATTTAATATATTTTAATAATTTTATTGATTTTTTTGTCTCAGATAAACTGTCAATAGCCAGGATTTGCCATCAATTGGCCATGTACGCGCTGCACGTTCTGATGCATCTCTATGCTACAGCCGCTATTTTTTATATCTCTGAAAAAAAATTATTATTTGTACGCTGAAATATGTAAAACATAATGCCAAAACATTATTTTGATATCTCGTTTCTTTCCTTACGAAAAAATATATACATTTTGGACCTCTAGAGTAGAGCCTCCTCTTAATTTAAAAAAACACTATTCCATATTCTCTGCTTTTAATCCTACAACTTTTTTCATAAAATTATCAAAGTACGGAAATTATATAATCATTGTAGCATTGCTATTTTAAAGTGCTGTTAATTTACACCATTAGTTATTTTAAAATAAAATTTTGAAAATAAATTTTCAGTTAAGCACTAGTAAGTGTATCAGTTATGTCAATATTTAAAAGCGAGTCAATGTATAAGAACATCTTTGCAATCGCGTACACGATGTGTCTGAGCGTGAAAATTTGAGATGCTACAATCGACGAATTTTATTCTTTTATAATTTGAAAGGTATTACAGCTATATTTTCGTATAAGACTTTTGTCTTAGAATGTTCCACGGAATCTGCCAGTAAAAGGATTCGCACTCTTTTTGAAACACCCTGTGTATGTGTGTATATATATATATATATATAT